GATAATATTTGCTGAAATATCGCTATTGTGTCCACAAATTTAGCCTATCACTTTGCATATCACCATTATCAGAGCCTCCGGACTTAGCAAACCAATGCACTAGGGTACACTCGGGAAGAGATTAGAGACCACTTTTTCAGCGTGTTCTTTTACTCACTAGGCATCCAATAAATGCTGCATATCCAAGAATTGCATGTGTCCTTATGCAGACACAAAAAGCACCCTCTGGCATCTTTATTGCAATACTGCCGGTAAACTCATAGCTTTCAGTAAGAAACATTTGCCGTAAATATACTGATGCAAAGTTCATAGGAATTTTATCATCATGAAATCATATGCTTGCATATATGATATATTGTGGCATGATTTCATCATTATCGGATGCCTTGGGAGTGAGAATGACTTTTGTGAGGAAATAGCTGATAACCTTACAAAGTCTTGCTAGTTTTCAGCATGTTTGCCATTAAACTTTCAACTAAATAAACTTTACAACTAAATAAATTGTTTTATAAGAGAAGTCACAGAAAAGGTTAAGGCTGGTAGGATTCAATAGAATAAATAGTAATATTAATAATAAATAATTTTATAATGAATATATTTAAATCTATGCTTTGATAAACAGGTTTATTTTTGTTATGGATAGAAGTTTAAAAAATCAGTAGCCAAATTGGCTGGTGAATAAGTTATATTCAAACTGTTCATAAATCATTAATTCCAGTCAGATCTGAAGTGCATCTCGTCGTACAGTAAATTGCCATGTTTTAATGTGATTTTTGTGCACTTTTTGATATTTGATGATTGATGATATTTGATATTTAATAATATATATTTTCCTTTTCTGTTTTTAAAGAGGGTCATGCTTGAAGAGACTAACAGCTTTCCGACTCCAGGCTGAGATGAACATTTTGGTGGGCAGTTTTTGACAAGATTTCCCGTTCATCTTGCATTGAATACACCAACTCAAGGCTGAGATACAAATAATGGAGAGCAGTTATAGACATGATTCTGTGTGCTCCTCTAAATGCATATCAGAAGAAGTATTACTTACAGTATTAAAACCATAGCTGCCAAATTTAAAGACTAGAGAAACACCAGCTCTTATAATCCACATTACTGTTCCTTTCTTTACCAAGCAATTATATTTGTTCATAGTGTATTGTAACAACAGCATGAGAACAAAGACACATTCCCTGTGTTGGTGAAGATATTTATAAATACTGTTCATTATTATCAGTTTTAGCAAATCAGTATTAATTGAAGCCTTTAGCCAAAATTCACAGATCATCCTGTTCAGGTTATTACAATGAAATGAAAGATTTATGTGTCTTTGTCTGAAAAACAGAAGTGTTTAATGTTATGTTGCTTTTTGATTGGAGTACAGTCCTGTGTGGTCTAATATTTTTGGAACATTGTCTTGTATGAAAATATCATAGGTTGAGGGAAGACATTTTTCGAACAGTAGCAAGGGCACAATAAATGTTGTCTGTTTGTCTTGTTGATATGCATTTAGAGGATTTTGTATTTAGAAATTTTGAATAAAACTATTGCAATACACGTGCATCTGACCAGATTTAAAAATATATATATAAAAACCTGGAAAATTCTTGAATTGTTTATTAAAAGGTGTCATGCTTTGTATTACTGTTAAAAAAATAATCTATGCAACATGCTATTGCATTACTTCGTATGTAACATATCTGTGGTTTACATGGGATTTATGGGAAACTGGAATTCAGATTTTGCAATGACGTTATATAGATGCACACTATTTGTGTCTTTGGTCATGTGTACGTTATTGGTGACCCGAGTAATATTTAACACAAAGTTTTACATCTTAGCAAAGGAATAGTACTTTGACAAATATGTTTGAAATGTAGACTCATGTGAGATGAAGACCTTTAGTGTTTGACAAAAGATTTTTTATAACCTCATTTGCTAAATGAATAAATGTATTTAAATGACTCCAGTTGTGCCAGTGGCCTAGAAATACCTGTTAATACCTGCATTTAATGGACCCCGTCTTACAGTTGCTGCCCGCGTTGATATTAGACATACAAATCAAAATCCATGGTTGTATCAGTGGCCTACAACATTGTTTGGTGCCTCTTTAAAAAATAAATGTGTCCTTTGTTTCTTACCCTCAGCATTTGACTCTATAATAAGAATGGTACAGTCTTATAAAGGGTGTGATAGTACAACTGCTAAAAATCTGACCTGGTAACCAAAAGTCCTGTGTTTAAATCATAGTACAGATATTCCGTTTCACTATGCCCTTGCAAACCCAACATGCTTTTTGGGGCTAATAATTTAGTTTGTAAAATAATCAACAGCATTTAACACGTTATGCTTTAATGTATTCTTCTGAACATTATTTTGAGATTCATTAATCAGTAACATATTTGAATGATGCCCTAGATTAAAAACAAAAAGTGTTTAACCCTCTGGGCCTCTTCGGTCATTTTTGAAATTTTGAAATTTTTTAAATTGTGGCTTCATCGGAATGAGATGACACTTGGTGACTTTTGTCACATTAGCTATGTGAACACACAAATAAATCATGGACATGATTCGGATATGTTAAAGGGTAAAAAAAAAGTCACACTTGGCTCCTTCGTGGTCAAAAATGACAGACAAAGGAAATTAATAGGAAATATGAAAAAAAAATACAAAAACTCAGAATCTTTTGGTGGTACAAACTACAAATCAGCTACTGTGCAGAACAAAAGTGCACAGCAATCAAGGGGTAACTCTAAAATATCAAGAGTGCAAAATAGACACCCACGCACACACACACACACACACAATACAAAAAATACAAAAGATTCTCTCTCTCTCTCACACACACACACACAGAGAGAGAAATGAACTGGTTATGACTGCAACAGAGCAAATTTTTTAGAATATGTGAAAAAATACAAAAGATGCTCTCTCTCTCTCTCTCTCTCTCTCTCTCTCTCTCTCTCACACACACACACACACAGAAATGAACTGGTAAGACTGCAACAGAGCAAATTTTGAGAATATTCAATGATTAATTGAAATCATAATGCAAAACCTGATATTTATCTAACCAAAAATATCTAAACCTTGACAAAAAGTAGTCTTTTAGAATGTCTAAATATATATCTAAAAGTAAAACCTAATGAAATGAATCAATTATATCTAAAAAACAATGGGAATCCAAAGGCCTCTGTATATATGTATATAGAGTTTACATGACATTACGCATGTTCTTATTTTTTTATGCCACCAGATGGCACAATTCTCACTTCAAAAATGTTTTCACTCTGTTTTAACATAAAATATTGCAATTATTGAAAAATAATTAAATAAAAATATATAAATTCTAATGGAAAAAATAACTAATTAAAATTGTATAAATATTGCATAGTATCATAAAATCCCTTCAAAAGTCTAAATAATAATAAAAAAAATAGTATTAAACAAAAATGTATTACACTGATTTTCCTGAAAAAAAGAAGTTACATTTCAAGGCTTTGGTCAATTTTAACCACGAAAGAGCCAAGGGTGACCCCTAAACGAAGAGGCCCGGAGGGTTAAATAGTGTTTTGATGTAGGGAAGATTATATATATATATACTTTTTTTTCTGCAGTATGTCATTTAGCTACCCGGGTGAACAATTGTTATTACAGTAAAAGTAAATATCAAGAGTGCAAAATAGACACCCACGCACACACACACACACACACAATACAAAAAATACAAAAGATTCTCTCTCTCTCTCACACACACACACACAGAGAGAGAAATGAACTGGTAAGACTGCAACAGAGCAAATTTTTTAGAATATGTGAAAAAATACAAAAGATGCTCTCTCTCTCTCTCTCTCTCTCTCTCTCTCTCTCTCTCACACACACACACACACAGAAATGAACTGGTAAGACTGCAACAGAGCAAATTTTGAGAATATTCAATGATTAATTGAAATCATAATGCAAAACCTGATATTTATCTAACCAAAAATATCTAAACCTTGACAAAAAGTAGTCTTTTAGAATGTCTAAATATATATCTAAAAGTAAAACCTAATGAAATGAATCAATTATATCTAAAAAACAATGGGAATCCAAAGGCCTCTGTATATATGTATATAGAGTTTACATGACATTACGCATGTTCTTATTTTTTTATGCCACCAGATGGCACAATTCTCACTTCAAAAATGTTTTCACTCTGTTTTAACATAAAATATTGCAATTATTGAAAAATAATTAAATAAAAATATATAAATTCTAATGGAAAAAATAACTAATTAAAATTGTATAAATATTGCATAGTATCATAAAATCCCTTCAAAAGTCTAAATAATAATAAAAAAAATAGTATTAAACAAAAATGTATTACACTGATTTTCCTGAAAAAAAGAAGTTACATTTCAAGGCTTTGGTCAATTTTAACCACGAAAGAGCCAAGTGTGACCCCTAAACGAAGAGGCCCGGAGGGTTAAATAGTGTTTTGATGTAGGGAAGATTATATATATATACTTTTTTTTCTGCAGTATGTCATTTAGCTACCCGGGTGAACAATTGTTATTACAGTAAAAGTGGATAAATATTATATAATAATGATACGTCTATTTTTCAAACATTTGTTCTTTATTGTCATAGATATCTGGGCAATGTGTAATTTAAGTATTTTTTAAGAGCGTAGTGTACAAAGTTAAGATGCTTTTCTCTGTAAATGGCTGTTTAATTTAGTACAAATTTCCTTATTTACATAAAGAAATAAACTGCAAAAAGTTCTCATTTGATGTTGATCAAATGAGAAGATCATTAATGTTTGATCAACATTACTGAGCAAGGTTTTACAGAAAACTGCTGTGTATTAACAAAATTGTAATGTTACTGAAGTTAAGCATTTGATAAAGTAAAATTTACAATCAGAGAAAATATCTTTCACACAATTTTAATGCACACATTATTTGCTTTGATCATTCATTTAAAATAGCTGATTTGTGTTTGGAAAAAAACACGCGCACTTTACAGATAATCTTAAACTAAGCCACGGCAGAGTGTTAGATGCAGTTGCACTCTTCTGGTATGATGTTAGGCAGGGTCTCATACTTGAATGAGTATCCCCCATCTGAGGTGGTGGTGAAACGGAGAGACTTCATGCTCTCTGGAACAGGAGCGCAGCACTGGTTGATGCCAAGAATGGTAGTAGTGCGCTCAGCGCTGGAGCAATTGCCATGGCAGTAGTAGAAGGTGAAGGCTTTAGGATGTACAATCCAGTTATCCCAGCCAAGGTCCTCGAAGGAGATTTCTATCTGTTTGACTGGACTTACAGTTGCTTGGAGCAGCTCATGGTAAGGGGTGAGAATGAAAAGGGGCGCTGAAATGTTGCTAGAAGCAATGGCCTCTCCAGCATAGAACCAGAAGTTGGCAGAAGTGATGATGGAGTCCTGGCTGTCCAGGGAGGGCTGAAAGTAGTAAGTAAAGTAACCACCACGAAAGAGCCAAGGGTGACCCCTAAACGAAGAGGCCCGGAGGGTTAAATAGTGTTTTGATGTAGGGAAGATTATATATATATATACTTTTTTTTCTGCAGTATGTCATTTAGCTACCCGGGTGAACAATTGTTATTACAGTAAAAGTGGATAAATATTATATAATAATGATACGTCTATTTTTCAAACATTTGTTCTTTATTGTCATAGATATCTGGGCAATGTGTAATTTAAGTATTTTTTAAGAGCGTAGTGTACAAAGTTAAGATGCTTTTCTCTGTAAATGGCTGTTTAATTTAGTACAAATTTCCTTATTTACTGTACATAAAGAAATAAACTGCAAAAAGTTCTCATTTGATGTTGATCAAATGAGAAGATCATTAATGTTTGATCAACATTACTGAGCAAGGTTTTACAGAAAACTGCTGTGTATTAACAAAATTGTAATGTTACTGAAGTTAAGCATTTGATAAAGTAAAATTTACAATCAGAGAAAATATCTTTCACACAATTTTAATGCACACATTATTTGCTTTGATCATTCATTTAAAATAGCTGATTTGTGTTTGGAAAAAAACACGCGCACTTTACAGATAATCTTAAACTAAGCCACGGCAGAGTGTTAGATGCAGTTGCACTCTTCTGGTATGATGTTAGGCAGGGTCTCATACTTGAATGAGTATCCCCCATCTGAGGTGGTGGTGAAACGGAGAGACTTCATGCTCTCTGGAACAGGAGCGCAGCACTGGTTGATGCCAAGAATGGTAGTAGTGCGCTCAGCGCTGGAGCAATTGCCATGGCAGTAGTAGAAGGTGAAGGCTTTAGGATGTACAATCCAGTTATCCCAGCCAAGGTCCTCGAAGGAGATTTCTATCTGTTTGACTGGACTTACAGTTGCTTGGAGCAGCTCATGGTAAGGGGTGAGAATGAAAAGGGGCGCTGAAATGTTGCTAGAAGCAATGGCCTCTCCAGCATAGAACCAGAAGTTGGCAGAAGTGATGATGGAGTCCTGGCTGTCCAGGGAGGGCTGAAAGTAGTAAGTAAAGTAACCAGATGCAGCCTCAGAGGAGTTATCAGGCATGTCCTTGCATGTAGACTCTGAAAGTTAATAAAAAAAAGGTCAGAATGTACAGCAATTTAAACTATGTTTATGTGTCAAAATAGCCTCTTTGTTTAAAAAAAAAATATTTAGTGATTTCAGCCTTAGGTGGGTCAATGACAAGTGTCCATGATAAATAAATAAAATATTTTAAAACATTTAGTTTAAGAGATGGCAAATTCTTAGAGGTGTAATTTTTCAATTCATGTTGGTTTTGAAAAACTTTTATACAATTTTCAACAATAATGACTCTACAATAATGGAAAATGCCATGTGGCGTCACTATCACTATCCAAAAGTAATACCATGTTTCCCTCTCACATTTAAAACTTAAGTATACACATGTTGACAATTATTTAAAAAACACAAAAAAAACACATTAATTCATAAATATCATTAGGTTTTTGGAAAGTCACACCATATGACATTTTACAATCTATAACCTTGACCTGTCACAAAAATGTCAAATTATCCAACATTTTAACAGACAAATTTGTTTTCTACATGTTTCTTAATGTTGTTTGCACCACCCATATTAATAAGCAGGGTAGCTGTTTTCCCCCGTTTTCTGTGTTGCTTCACACATGACTTCGATTTCACTTACAAACGTTTTTCAAATATTTATAAGTAGCAAAGCTGAAAGAAATAACAATAATCAATAATTATGCCAAACTACTACCATCCCTCCACCCAAACCAAATCATAGAGTTAAGCCAGAAATTGAAAGCATGCTTTTAGAATATGTGTATTAGAATATGTGTATTAAAGCTATAGTATGTATGAATTCCACAAAAATATTATGACTAAATTAATACATAATCATACAAGGAGCCGAGAATCTTACCAAATATCATGATGTTAGACATTATTGTTTTTCATATAGCTACTGGACATAAAACAAGCTCACCTGAGCTTGGGAACAGAATGACCTGTGAGGACTCCTGATGGTGTCTTCTTTCCACTCTTATCTCCCTAGTCATTCGTGAAGCTACATGATGCACAACTTTGTTCACCGCTTGCTGTGTTGGCAGCTGAAGCACTGGCAGAGGAGGCTCATCCATCCCCAAACCGTCAAGGATCCGACTTTTCAGCCAGCCAAGCACCATGTCACGCGGTAATTTGTCTCCTTGGCAGGCCTGGACCATTGGAGGTGACAACAAAGCCCACAACATCAGGGCACAAGCGAATGAAGGCAAAGAGCTGGTCAGGCTAAACATACTCAAAACTAAGGTTAAAATCACACACTGAAAATTTCAGGCTCAAAAGAAAGTGATTTGTATAGAAGGTTTTCAAAGATATATACAGCAAGTTCTTAAAGAAATCACTAAACACTTTTTGATTCACTGTTTCATGAGAGAGCTGGAATCAAACTCTCTCTTGCAGATCTGTCTGGTAGAAAAAGTCTGTGACTGTTTTTTTGTTACACTCCAACAAATGGCGACCATTGTTTGGGTTCATGCTATCACAGTGTGGACAGGACAAAACAGCTTTTGAGATTACAATCCTTCGAGTCGGTTTCTTTCCCCATTCCCTTGTCCTTGAAGGGAATTGACACAGTATAACAGAAGGATTTTTAAAATGGATTTTTGGTCAGAAAGTAGATTTACACAAAAGCTGATCATGCTTTTATTCCTCTGGCCTGCTTAACATGTTTAACTTATCTTAAATTCAGAAGCCCATAATATTTATTATGTGAATGTGATGCTATTGCACTTTGCCTTGTAAGTCAAAGGTGACCCCTAAACTGAATTATGTCTGAAGACACCATATGACTCAGTTGACACCTGGTCTTAAAGGGATAATTGACTCGAAAATGAAAATTCTGTCATCATTTACTCACCGTCATGTTGTTTCCTGATCCATTATTTAATTTGTTTGTATGACTTACTTATTACTGTGAAACATTAAAAAAAGCATTATTTTGTGCGCCACTAAAGAAAAAAAATCCTACAGGTTTAGAACAACATGTGCATGAGCAATAATTATAATAAAGAGTTTTCCGGGTTGGGGTGAACTATCCCTTAAAAAAATGCATATGTACTCAGTGCTAATACAGGTGCATCTCAATAAATTAGAATGTCGTGGAAAAGTATTTCAGTAATTCAACTCAAATTGTGAAACTCGTGTATTAAATAAATTCAATGCACACAGACTGAAGTAGTTTAAGTTTTTGGTTCTTGTAATTGTGATGATTTTGGCTCACATTTAACAAAAACCCACCAATTCACTATCTCAACAAATTAGAATATTGTGACATGCCAATCAGCTAATCAACACAAAACACCTGCAAAGGTTTCCTGAGCCTTCAAAATGGTCTCTCAGTTTGGTTCACTAGGCTACACAATCATGGGGAAGACTGCTGATCTGACAGTTGTCCAGAAGACAATCATTGACACCCTTCACAAGGAGCCACAAACATTCATTGCCAAAGAAGCGGGCTGTTCACAGAGTGCTGTATCCAAGCATGTTAAATGAAAGTTGAGTGGAAGGAAAAAGTGTGAAAGAAAAAGATGCACAACCAACCGAGAGAACAGCAGCCTTATGAGGATTGTCAAGCAAAATCAATTCAAGAATTTGAGTGAACTTCACAAGGAATGGACTGAGGAGTGTACATGTCATCCAAAACATTTTGTGATAAATCACATACGGAGGCAGCCAGAGACATATTTTTCCACATCACATTCGTAGTGTAACTGTTAAATTGTCCTTCTGCACCCTGAAAGCAGAATGACGGCTCCTTACCTGCCAATCAATCAATAAAACAAGGTTTTTAGATTTTAACTATATTATTTTGTGGCTGTATAGTGGCTCTGTATTGGCTGTAATGATTATATATTCTTGATAATTTTATTGTTACCTCCTACCAAAACTCTTTGTATTGGCCAAATCTTATTCTTTGTCCTCTGTAAGATTTTTTTTGACAGTTCGGATACTATGACTCCTGCTTCCCCACAGTTTAAAATGTGAGCTTGAAAAGAACACACAAGATAATACATTATCAAATGTCTGACCTTGGTTGTGCAAATGTCTCTGTCTTGTGCTTTGCCAGTGTCTTGGCACGGCTATTCTTAAATATAGAAGATCAGTTCAGCCACTTGCCACTTCACATACAGCACCAGAATGTATAAATGGTGAAGATCAGATCTTGTGATTGATATCAAATATATCAAATATTTAATGGTTTCGCTGAGCTAATATTAGCTGAGTCACCATTTTAAATGTTGACAGTCTTTTTTTGTTTGTTTTGGCAAACACTTTGATAGTTTTGTTAGTCACATGTGTCTGGTTTAGATTTAGACCATTGTACTAATGGGTGCAGCCCTATTCTCTCCATAAAATGACCCTCCTGATGTCAAAGGAAGAGACCCTGACAAAGCTGTGTATGGTGGTCTCAGCTCCCAAACGCTTGTGTCTACATCCTGACCAGCACATGTGGAAGTTAGTGCTGGTACCTTCCACCTGGATCTGTAAGGCTTCAAACGTTCATAGTGAACAACCTTGGGTTCTCCATGTATATTTCTCAAGTTTAATATTGTATAAATTTCACCATTCATGTCCACTGTAACCACTCGATATGGTTCCGTCCATTTAGGATCAAGTTTCTTTCTTTGTGTGGTTGGATCATTCATCCACACCAGATCACCAACTTTAAAAGGTCTGAATTTCGAATATCTATTAAAATAGTACTCATGCTTGAATCTCTGATAATCACCAGTGTTACGTACTTCTTGGAACACAGTTTCCATACGATTGACTAGAGTTGAACCGTAAGTTTGTGGGGTGTCTATAGCAACACCTGGAAAATCAAGCTGTTCATGTGCCGGTAAATGAGGTTCACGACCATGAGCTACAAAGAATGGGGAGTAACCAGTGCTAGAATGAGGTGTAGCAATAAATGACAGTAAGAAAGAAGTTTGTGGTTTTCCTGGGGCAATACACACTGTACGGCAAAGTACTCCATTGTGTATCACCACACGGGGAACTTGCCACCAAGATTGTCTCAATTTCCCTCTAACCTGTCTAAGATTATGTCTCTTTTGTTTTTCAACCCATCTATAAACCTGAGAGAGCAGGGGATCTGTTTTCTGATAGGAAGACATGTTTTTTCCCTCATCATCCAAAGAGGTACACACAGTACATTCAAAGTAGATTCAGAAGTAACGCCATCAGGTTCACCCTGGGTTAGACAAATTTGTGACTGCACCTTAGAATGACTATCTGTACTGTTGGTGCTAGCAGAACCAGACGTCTGGAAGATGACAGGCAAGTCATCTGTTTGAACGGATACTGTTTGTGTGAAGGGTTTCGGTGTCATAGAAGAAACTACTGGAATTCGAGACATGGCATCCGCAATAGAATGTCTCCGGCCATCTTTGTGAACGATCACCCAATCACACGGATCGAGTTCCATAGCCCACCGACCTCTATGTCCTGTGGGATCAACGTCAAAGTTCAACTTCCTTAGCCCAGCCAGAGGTTTGTGATCTGTGACAATTGTAAAAGGGCAGTTGCTCAAGTAGTGACGAAAATGCCTGACTGACCAAACTATTGCCCACAGTTCTTTGTCATAGGTGTCATTTTCGTTCAATAGAAGTAAGTACGTGACTAGCGTATGCAACAACCCGCTCTTTGTCATTTTTAAATTTGAGATAGAACAGCACCAATAGCTGTATTAGATGCATCTGTACTTAATGTGAATGGCTGGTCAAAGGTAGGAAATGCAATGACAGGAGGAGATGTCAAAGCTTCTTTCAGTTGCTGAAAAGCTGCTGAACACTCATCGGTCCATTCAAAACTAATGTCTTTGTGAGTTAGTCTGTGTAAAGGTTGAGCTTTAAAGGCATAGTCTCGAACTAATCACCTATAGTAACTACACAAGCCCAAAAATGCTCGCACCTCAGTAGCAGATTTAGGAGTTGGCCACTCTTGTACATTTTGACAATGAGCTGGGTCAAGAGCCAACACATACTTCGAGACAGCATGAGCCATGTACTTTACTGATACCTTGCAGAACTGACATTTTGTAGGGTTAAGCTTGAGACCTGCTTCCCTAAAGCTGGTTAAAATGTCTGTGAGGTTTTTCATGTGATCCTCAAAATATCCCCATACAAATGATGTCGTCTAAATAAATGACAAACTTCGTCCAGTGCAAACATCTAAGGACTAATTCCATAAGTCTTTGGCATGTGGGTGGACTATTCTTAAGGCCCATAGGCATCACATTAAAGTGATACAGCCCATCACCAGTGGTAAAGGCCGTCTTTTTCCTGTCATCCAGATCTAGTTCAACTTGCCAATAACCCGAAGACATGTCCATGGTAGAAAAATACTGAGACCCTGATAAAGCATCAAGACTATCATCCACCCGAGGTAATGGGTGTGCATCAGCAATGGTTATGGAATTAAATTTGCAATAGTCAACGCAAAATCTGTAGATATTGTCTTTCTTCCTCACCATCACTACTGGACTCGACCAAGGACTATCACTATCCTCTACTACATCTTGTGCTTTGAGCATTTCTACCTGACAGTGAATTTGTGCCTTGAGAGCAGGAGAAGTCCTGTATGCTCGCTGGGAAATGGGAGTGTCATCTATGGTCCTGATTTTGTGGGTAACCAGGCTGGTTCTACCATAGTCCTGAGCATGCTGACTGAAAACTTTAGAGAAAGAGGTTAGTAAATCTGTAAGACACTTTTGCTGTGTCACAGATAACTCGGTGTTAGATCTGGTAGTATAGGTGACTTGTACATTGACACTTGACTGGAACCAGTAACATTCTGAGTGTTTACATTGTTCACACTTTTGTCAATTATCACAAAACCATACTGATCACTCCCATAAATTGAATGAAAAGTACCAATTGGAGTTCCACAGTGCAGGGAAATGTCATCTACAGAAGGATTGGCCACTATCAGAAAAATGTAACCCTTATCTGCTTCCATCACAGTCCATGCAAATCCTACCTTTGAGTATTCATGATAGTGAGGCTCAAACACTCCAGTGTAGCCATTTGGCTGTAAACCTACATGGTGTGAAAAGTTTTGCAGAGATTACAGCCTCTGACAGCACAGCAACAATTGTAGTGGTTGACACTCTGACATCCACCAGTTTACAGCTGACATCCACCTAGCTGGAAAGACATGTTCTGCATGTTAACCACAGTTTTGTGCTTAGACAAAAAGTCCCAACCAAGTACAACTGCTTTTGAGCAATTTCTGATCACTTGAAATGAATGTGACACTGTACGTTTTCCCAAAGT